CCCACCCCCACCCCGTGAGCACCTCAGCAGGCAGCATCTCATGGGCTGGTGGTGCCCAGGGTCAGGCCCAGCCCGGCTCACCACGAGGTCAGCTTTGTGAGCGCACCAGCCGCTCCGCAAGAAGGAGGAGGCTGTCAGCTCCAGTAAAGATGTCCAGCCCAGTGCCCATCGGGCAGCTCTGAGCTGTCCTGCAGGCTCAGCTGCTCTGTCGGGGCCTTAGTTTGTGCCTGAGACACGCCCCTGCATTGGTGCTCCGGAGCGCCTTCGTAGCACCTGGGCGTGGTTCCCACCTGCAGCGGTGGCAGAGGGGACATGTTGGGGCCAACTGGGTCATGGTGGTTCTCCATTGTACACGGAAAGACTGAAGCCCACAAAGCGGAGGTTTGCAGAAGAGGAGCTTGAAGGGGGTGTGCCCGGACATTTGACGAAGGACAAAGCCATGGCATCAAAACCGAGGCGGGGCCAACCCCAGTGGAACGCGTGCAGACCTCGGGATCCAGGAACGGCTCGCCGTGGCAGGACTTGGGAAAAGCTGGGGAGTCTGGTGAGTGGGGGTGGGATGGGGGAGCAGGGTGGTGTGGAGCCGTCATGCTGTGGACACAGGCACAGTGTCTGCAGGGCACAAGGGCCCACTCCTCTGGCCACCAGCCCTGTGAGATGGGAGATGAAGCTGTACCACACCTATCTAAGGGGAGGCCTTCCCACAGAATGACCATGCTCCCTTGGGAGTTGGAGGATCAGAGGGGGTCTGGACACAATACCCAGGGAGCCCCTACAGACCACCAGGACAGCTCAGCAGATGCCATGGCACCTGGGGGCTCCCAGAAGACCCCCTGACAGCAGACATGGCTAGTTCCCCACCAGGCTGCCGCCACCACAGCTGCTGGAATCCCGGTCCTCCAGCTGTGCTCAGACAAACGCAGAGCTTGGGGGTGGCTCTGAGCCTGGGAGGGCGACTCCAGGTCCCAGGGTGGCCAGTCCTGCCCCAGGAGGCCCCGCCCCAGGCCAGACCCAGCAGCTTCCACCTCGTGGTCATGGCCTGATAGCCTCTCCAGCCTGACCCGTCACAGGACTGCAGTCTGGAGCAGGGACATTGAAGGCTCCCCTGTAGAGGGGCCAGCTGTACTGGACATCAATCTGGTCACCCCTCTTTGATCTCCATGAATTGTGATAAAAATGTCAAACGGTTAGATGGGGCTGGAGCAGTTGGGGAAGGCAGGCAGCACATCTCTTGAATCACCCTGACAAGGGGCCCAAGCTCCTGCCGCAATAAATCTTGCACCACCCCACCCAGCCTCATTATCAGAACCCAGATCTGCAAAACAGGCCACCTGCTGGGTGGCCCAGAGGCACCATGGCTGGAGGTTCAAGTCCACACACAGGCCCCTCTGGAAAAGAGGCTAGCAATCCACTCATGAAAATCCCCCTGTGAGCACAGCTCTGCCTTGATTAGGGGTGGAGTGGGATGGGACAGGAGTTAGCTCCAGCGAACTGGAGGGCCATGGTACTGGGGGACGGGACTCCCCGTCTCCTGCACAGCCCAGCCCAGCCCAGCCGAGGCCTGGCCCCGCTCTCTGGCACTGGTGGGCTCCCTCTCTTAGGGCTGGCCTGTCCTGGTGGGTGCTGGCCCGCAGCCAAAGCCTTCGGGGGACTTCCAGCAGCTCCACCGGGACCACCCACCCTGCCCCGGGGACCTTGGCCTTCTTTCACTTGGAGGGTGAAGACATGTTGGAAATTGATTTCTCTGTGGGAAATGGGATAATTAAATGGGCCGTTTCTATCTTCCTCCTCGTCATAATAAAATGGGAGGATGGCGGGGGTGACGGTGGCATGAAGTCACATTGTGTTGAAATGGGATGGGAGGAAGCTTTAATAGAATACAGATGGCCTTTCTGGGAGTTGCTGAGTTATATCTCGGAGGCGGGATAATGATGCTGTTTAATCATTTTTACAAGATATGAAACCACTGGCTTCCCCGGGAAGATCATTAACGAAAACCATTGTTCACCATTGAAAATAGAGTTTTAATTATTTAACACAGAGATTAAACTATTAGGGACTGGGCGGCTGGACAGAAATGCGTGCACACGGTCGGGAACACTCTGGTTTTATTAACCTGCCCAGTTTCTTCCTCACAAGCCTGTCACAGGCCTGTCTGAGCTGCAGTTGACTTAGCAGCTCGCCGGAGACAGAGGGAGGGCCCGGCAGGCGGTGGGGGGTGCGGGGACGGCAGGGGTGGCCTTGGCCCATGGACATCCTGGAAGAGCCCAGGCTGCGGTGCAGACCAGGTGGACATCAGGTCGCTCTGCGGAGCTTGGCTGCCCTGGGTGTGCCACCTTCCAGGGCTAAGTGAGGGACAAGGTTTGCACCCACAAAAGCCTCTGCCCCCTCCCCCACAGCCCCTGACTCCCTGAGAGTCTCTCAGGGAGAGAATTCATCCTGATTCCAAGTGGGACTATCCAGGCAGGCCCTGACCAGGCAGCCAGCCGACCAGGACAGCAGGTGACCAGGAGCCAGAGGCCAGGTGAGCATGCACTGGTCCTCAGCCTAAGCAGTGTGCAGGAGGGTCTTCAGGAAGGGGCAGGGCCACTGTCCTCACGTCATCCTCAGAGAAGCGGCCCAGCTGCAGGGGTAGGGATGGGGCCCTTTACCTGGTGTGCGGACAGCCTTCTCTGAGGCTGGGGCTGACGGCAGAAGACTCCAGACTCAGGGCCTGGTACCAGGGGAAGGGGGAGGGGAGCAGAGCCAACACCCTGCCAGCAGGGAGCCAGGTGCCCCCCCAAGTGAGGAGTTATTTTCCTTTGTCCTGTGATTTTGTGATTTACAAATTTCCTATGATCGAATGTCTTCTTAATAACCCCTTTTATTGTAAATGTGCCGGCAGCATGGCAGGTGTTGGGCGCCTCCCCGTAGTGGGGTTCCTGGGACCCTTACCTTTCTCCCTCTAGCCAAACCCATATCTTTAATGTAGAGATTCGGCATTCAGGATACCAACAAGCACGCGGGCACTTTGAAAGGAGGGTTGTCCCTGAGGGGGACAGGGCTGGGCACAGAGCGGGGTCAGTAAGGCACCATAATGCCCCAGCCTGGGCGAGGCCCCACCTGTCTCCCACCCTGCCAGCTGCCCTGAGTGACCAGCTCAGGCCCCAGAGTACAGCTGGAGGGCGGGCTGGGCCCAGCCCACCCCATGGTGCTGGCGAAGCTGAGGCTCGTGGCCCAGGCACCTCCCGGGCCCTTGGTGCCAGGGTGCCCCCTCCCTGACCCCTCACCCGGGCCCTGTGGTCCTCAGCTGGAGTCAGCCTGCCATTGGAATTACCCTCCATCGCCTATCAGGACCAATAAATTCCAAGTGGTTTTTCTTCTTCTTATAGTTTTTAGGGTTACATAAATTTCACGTGAGCAATTTCTTCACGCTTGAATATATTACACGTGCCACCGGCGCTGCAGAAGCTAATTGGTACTGTGATCTGTCCTGTTGCTGGCCCATAACTCAGCAGCACAGCAAGCGCCTCGGTTTCCTATTTCTCACGCGGGACACGGCGGAGGCGGAGGAGGAGATGAAATATTTCCAGAAGCTTTTATTCCTGTTGTTTGGGTGGGTGCCAACACCTTTCTAGAAGAAAGCTCGTGTTTCCAGTGCAGCTGATTGGAACGTATCCCTGGTCATTCGTTAACACTGCATTCCTTTCTTAAACTGGGATGCGCTAAGTGTATACTTGGGAAAGGAAACCTCTTCAGACAAACAGGGAATCACAACCTCTCTATATCACCCAACATACCCTTTTTTAGAAAGAAAACTCTCTATGTGGAACTAAGTCTAGACGCTGCAGCGTGGCCTGTGTGACCCCCGCCCGGAGGGTCCCTCTCCGGCTCTGGCCGGCTCCGAGCCTCGGCTGCGGTCACTGTGCTGCCCAGCTCACTGCTCCCCCTTCTTCTCACTGAGCCCTGTGGGAGGCCACGGTGAGCTGAGTCCCTGGAGCAAGTGGCTATGCCACGGGGGCAGTTCTGGCCCGTGGCCCCTCGGCACCCCGTTGGAGGGTGTGTGTCTCACAGCTCGCTACCACAGTGCAGACTGAACGCTGCTCCAAAGCAAACACTCACTGTGACCTCTAGGGCAGGCAGAGCCGCCCAGTGCATGGCCGAGACCGTAACTCTACCGGAGTCAGTTGGCAGCCTCGTCTTGCTCTCTGAGAGGGGCTGGGGTTTTCCAAGCCCAAAGTGCAACCACTTAGGGGGGCCATTATTCCCAATGGCCACGGGTGCCGGGTAGGCCCAGACTCTGGGCTTCTTTGCTGGCCTGTCCTGTTGTGGGGTGCGGAGCTCCCCACCCACCTGGCCCCACAAGTGGAGCACACATGCACCTGGCCCTGGGTCGCACACCCCACCTGGGCAGCACAGGCCATGCGTGACCCTGGAGATCCCAAGGCCCAAGGTCCAAGCTTGGAGCAGTGGCCCTTCCCAGGGCTCTTCTGTGGTGGTGGTGAGCCCAGAGACCCCTCACCCCCTCCCTGTCTCCCACGGTGCTGGAAGCTTTCCTGCCCTGAGGAGATGGCAGTCCTCTGCTTGCAGGCAGCCCGTCCACACTCACCTCCTTGGCTCATCTGGGAAAGGAGACCCTGAACTCCTGGCAGGTGGGGTGCACAGAGATGGCCTGGGGCTGCGGCTGTGACCGGGTGAGGGCCTGGCTAATACCAGGAAGGAGCAGGAGACCACAGGGGAGGGGTGGTGGTGGTGCCTTGGGGAGAGCAGGAGACCATGGTGGGGCTGGTAGGGGTGCAGACAGAGAGCTGGCCTGGGGCTGGGGACCTCAGGGTTGGGTGGGGAGGACACCAGAGAGGACTCTGTTTTCTCGTTTGTTTATTAGAACACGGAAATCAGGGTGAGGGGGGGGCACTCCCTTCCCATGAAGCCCTTTGTCTTCTGAGACGCTGGGTCTCGGAGGGGCTGGGGTGGGGGGAGGGCGTCCATGGGGAGGGCTCCCGGAGTGCTTGCTCCCCCATTCAGCCAATGGCTTGGTGTGGCAGACCATACAGTACCAGGTTGAGGGCCGTGGGCAGCCTCTGCGGCCGGCGCCGCTGCCACTGCTGGGAGGCTAGAAAGGGCTCATCTGGGCAGAGCAGGGCCGGCAGTCAGGGCTGGGCTCACTCAGGTGGAGAATTCCCGCCCCCCACCCCAGACCCGTCTCCACCACCTCACGGCCTCTGTGACTAGATGTGCCCCTCCCCCACCATCACTCCTGCCCATCTGGGGGATGGGGAGGAGACAGGGAGAGCCCTTCCCTACGTGATTTGTCTGCGGCTGGAGCCCAGATGCCACCTGTCTCTTCCCTGTCTCCCAGGGGGCACCTGGGCTCCCTGCCCTGGCCCATAGGGGTGCTGTGTCCAGTCTCCTGAGAGCAGACCCTGAGGTGGGAGGGAGGCCTTGGAACCTCCAAGTGGCCCCAGGAAGGGCCATGCTGCAGGGGCAGCCTGGTCCAGCAGGGCGGGGCAGAGCTCACCTTGGCCGGCCATGTCATCGGCCCCCATCTTCTGGAGGAGGTGGACTACCCTCCCCAGCGGCTTCCCGAGGGGCAGCAGATCTAGGGGAGGCAGGGACCCCTCAGCTGGGCTCAGCAGCGGCCCAGGCCCCCTTGGCCTGTCCCTCACTCACTGTCCCACAGCATGGCAGCCCGCATGGCGTTGTCCTGCAGCAGTGTGGTCCACTGGTTCCCCACAATGCTCTTGACCCCCACTAGGCTCAGGAGAATGGCCGTCTCCACGGGCCCCTCCAGGGACAGCTGCAGGGCACTGCGGAGCAGAGCTGGTCAACACAAGGCCCTCCTGCCGGCCCCACGGGGAGATGGCATGTTGGGGTCACCACCCTCAGGCCTTTCTACAGAAGGTCCCCAAAGTGCCGAAAGAGCAGGATTGGGGACCAGAGGCCCCTCCAGACACAGGCCAGCCAAGGGGAAGAGCAGTGAGGGCCTGGGCACGCCCCAAACCCCAAGTTGCTGCCCCTCCATGTTGCCCACCCTCGGCTCATGAGGGGGCAGGACAGGAATCCGGACCCCAGCCTTCCTCCCTTGGGGGCCCTTCCCATGGGCACAGGGGACCAGCTTACCCTGATTGCCCCCATCTCACCCAGTGCCCCAGCTCGCCCCAAGGTCAGCTCGCCCAGGGTCTCAGCTCGCCCGGGTGAGCTGGCCCCGATCCCGGCTGGCCACAGGGCGTACCTCCTGCCCTCCCTCAGCTCAGAGCTGCGCCGCAGGCTGTCGTTGGAGTGCGTCAGGTCCAGCAGCACCACCATCTGGCACTCTGCAACAGGAGGCAGGTGGCCAGGCTTCCCCACCCTGTGAGGCCCTCCTGGGAGGGGCGGTGTGGGTGCACACAGGGTGGGGGTGGGGGGCACAGCCCTGGGTGGGGAGTGGGGCTGCAGGGGTTGGAGTCACACGTCAAATCGAAGGACTTTGAGGCAAGGGTGTTCCACAGCATGTCCCCTGTGCTGCCCCACCCTGCCTGGAGGGATGACCCTCCCCTCTGACCGCAGGCCCAGCTTGGGTGGAGGGTGCTGCTGGAAGGACTGGGTGGGCCTGCCTGTACCCCGAGGTACTGTGGGGCTGGGCGCCTCACCCTGCAAGTTCATGGCCACCAGCCTCTCCAGCAGGATGTGGGACAGGAAGCTCTCCATCCCGTAGAAGAAGAAGCCCTGGCAGCTGCCCAGGAGCTGCTCCCACTCTGCCTGGCTGCGGGCGAAGGGGTGGGCGGCACGTGTCAGTGACCACCACTCTGCCTGGCTGTGGGGGTGCTGCAGCGGGGATGGGGAATCAGGGAGGGAGTGCAGTGACCACTGGTCTGACTCCACCTGGCTACGGGGGGTATTCGGGACCATTGGGATGCAGTGGCCACCATCACTCCCACTTGGCCTGGCTACAAGGGAGCCCAGAGGGCATTGTAAGGGCATGAAAGGGCTCTCCAGATGACCATCCCTGCAGAGGGGCTGCTCTGGGGATGGGCGCACACGCCTGGAGAGAAGGGCCCGGATGCCCACCCCTGCCACACTGATGACTGCCTGCTCCCCCTGCTCTGACGGCAGGGGAGGGGTAGGGCCAAGCCCTGCCAGGAGGATGGACCCCGACTCAGGATGGTGGGATCCCAGGAGCAGCAATGCTCAGGGGAGTGGACAAAGGTAGTCCAATGCCCAGAGGATGGGGCTGTCTCAGTGGGCAGGGGGCAGCGAGGGCACTGGTCACCGTGGGAAAGGGGAGCCTGAACATAGGAGGGGCAGGACTTGGGTAACAGGGCTGGGACAGACTGAAGGTGCAGGGCAGAGGGACCCCAGCTGTGAGTTGGGGTTCAGAGCTCCAATTCCCCATGTGGTAGGTCCCTGGAGGGCCCAGACCCTGCTGTCTGACTGGCAGGAGCTCAGGGAAAGGGAGGGGGTCCCAGAAAGAGGTGTGTGGAGGGGGAGGGCTTGTGCAAGGGGGTGAGGGGGATGTAGGGATGTAGAAGTCTAGGAGGGCCTTTGAAAAGGGCAGGGTCGCGTTGTGACGTGCGGAGGAAGAAGGTGGGGGCTCTGGCCTGTGGGGGGCAGGTCCTGGGAGAAGCCCGGCCCCAGCGCAGCTCACCTCGGGAAGGTCTTGTTTCCCAGGTGACCCGTCCACCTGGTCGTGAACGTCTCTCGGAATCTTTCGACAAGTTCCCGGGTCATGAAGACAGGAGTCAAGGCTTCTGCAACAGGGATCGAGGGGAGGCCCCGGGTCACAGGGGGGTGGGGGAGCAGGGACACGTGATGGACGCCGGTCCACCCTGACCTATCTGGCCTGGATCTCAGCAGGGGGGCATGCTACCGCCCCCATACACACCACGGGTCTGAAAACCACTTTAGGTGGATTGAAGGTTGAACGGGGAGCCCAAGGGCATGCAGAGGCTGGCTGGGTGGGGAGCTGGATCACAGAACCGCCAGTGCGCTGAAGCCCATTCCGAGCCCGGTGGAAGCTAAGAGGTGACCACACAGGGGGATGCCCCCCTCCCCAAACGAAGCTGCAGCTGCATCCATCGGTCTGCGCAGGCTCACCCATGCACTGAGCCTCCTCAAAGGGGTCCGCGA